TGAAAGGGTGATCTAAGTAACTGATCTAAGTAACTTTGGAAATGAGTAGAATCGGTAAGACCAAAAGCAAAATTAACTGTACATAAGTACTGTACTCTAACTGATAAAGTTGTTTCCCATGGGGTACAGGTTAACAATTCCGTTACTGCTGTACTTGTATGTTGCAGTTGAATAATTAATAAACGGATGGTGGATGGTGGGAGCCAGTTTTTTACTGTTAGATTAGGAGCCTACAGACGAGCAAGGGGAGGAGGCTGGAATGATCCATGTGGTTAACAGATTAGAGTTGGAGATTACAGTGGGAACTGATGTTTAGCCTAACAAAGATATGATGGTGACATATAGAAATATTTATAGATATTTATATATACATGGATTAGTATAGATCAATATATTTCCTGCTCTGTCAGCTAAGATGGACTAGAATCACTAACACCCAAGCAGCAGTGAGCACATTTAGTGCCCATATCTTGGTTTCTAATTCATTTTAAATAAGAGGAGCCATAGCTCTTTGGAGAAATGGCTGATTCTAGGACTGAAGCAGGAAATATACAAAATGAACCTGGAAAATCTTATAATTCCAGAAAGTAATGAAGTGCTTCAAAAAAGCTCAACTAAGCTAATCTAAAGCCCACAATGATGAGGGAAGTCCAAAGGGACATAGAAGTTAACTCTTTCAACTCCCAATGGCCAAAACTGGAACAATTTGAGAAATAAAATAAAGTAGCTTTGGATTATAAATCAAAGTATACAATAAATATCTATGAGTCCATACTGATATAAATAAACGAGGGAGATGAGACAAGTCTTCCAAGCAGAAGAATTTCAAATAATTTATATGGATACTGTACCCTTAAGGAGGTGGTGGAGCATAACCCCCTACTCCTTAAGTGTGGGCTGCACATCATGACCTCCATCTAAAGAGTACAGTATGGGGGGGGGGGTAACTTTAGAGTGGAGAGACCTGACAAACACTGTCTCAACCAGGCAGTGAAGATCAACACAGACAGTCATAAATCACGTTGATAGTAAGCACCCTTGATGCAATGTGATGAAAACAGCAGCTCTTCCTCCCCTAAACACATAATCCCTCTCTGACCACAAGAAAAGCACCAGGCAAATTCCAATAGAGGGACATTCTACAAAACACCTACCACTTCTCAAAACCGTCAACATCATCAAAAACAAGGAAATTCTTAGAAATTATCAGAGCCAAGAGATGCCAAAGGAAACATGATAACTAAATGTAATGTGTTATCCTGGATGGGACCCTGCAGCAGAAAAAAGGACATTAGGTAAAAACTAAGGAAATCTGTGTAAATGTAGACGTTAGTTAATAATATATCAGCATTGGTTTATTAATTCTAAGAAATGGATCATACTAATGTAAGATGTTAATAATAAGGGATTTAGGGTATGTGGGAACTCTCTGTATAATTGCCACAATTGTCCTGTGAATCCAAAACTGTTCTAAAGTAAAAGGCTTATTTTTTTTTAAGTCGCAAAAATGGAACAGCAGAAAACATACCTATCTTGACTTTGGTCCTGGATAAAGAAAAATTCCTTCTCTGGAAATTTGTATCATAATCTATCCCTATATATATTTTTTATTCATTCATATTACCTGTGTTGTCTGAAAAAGATCTCCTGTGAAGAATCCAGTGTAACGTGGTTTGGGGCTGGTTATGCCACAAGGCAACTCTCAAAAAAAATGTGGATCCTCTCTGGAAGAATTTAACCTCTATCCTAGCCTCAAAGAGGTCTCAGAAATAGATTTTTCTCCAAATTATCTCATAGTCAAAATTCATAAAACACACATGAAAACAAGACAACATGAGTAAGAACTAGGAGTACTGGATCCCAAAATTTCAGAGATTGGAATCATGAGACACAAAATAGAAAATTACTCTGATTAATACATTTAAAAAATTTAAAACAAGCCTGAAAATTTTGGCAAAGAAATAGAAATTACAAAAAGTGACAAAGATGATTTGCAAAATAACTGAATGAATTTTTTAAAATTTCAAATTCAACAAGTACTTCTTGAGTTCCCACTATTTACCAGGGCACATACTAGATACTTTCATATATATTATCTGTTTTTATTTTGGTAACAACAAATAATTCTATTAATAACTACTAAAGTTGTAAATCTTCATCTTAAATATTTTTCATTATTTTGTCTTTTCCTTTTGATCTGGGAACTTTCTTCTGATCTATTTTCCAGTTCACAAATTCTCTCCGCACCTGTATCAAATCTACTGTTACACACATCTGTTGTGTTCTTAATTTTGGTTATTAGTAATTTTTTCACTTTTAGAATTTCTAGTTATTTCCTTTTCAAAAAAGCGAAGTCACTTTTTACATTTAGTGCTCCCTACAGATTTCTTCAATCTTGTCTTTTATTTCTTTAAACACACTATCCACACTATCACAACCTTTATCTGATTCCAATATCTAAAGCTTCTGTGCTTCTATTTCTTTTTTTTTTTTTTTCCCTAGGAAGATTAGCTCTGAGCCAACATCTGCCAATCCTCCTCTTTTTTCTGAGGAAGACTGTCCCTGAGCTAACATCTGTGCCTATCTTCCTCTACTTTATATATGGGATGCCTACCACAGTATGGTTTGCCACGCGGTGCCATGTCCGCACCCAGGATCCAAACTGGTGAACCCTGGGCCGCCAAAGCAGAACATGTACTCTTAACCACTGCACCATCGGGCTGGCCCCTGTGTTTCTATTTCTGTGGTCTGTAGGTTCTACTGGTTTTCCCTGATGGTGTCTTATTTCCCAGTCTTGATTACATTTGAGTGTGTTCTGGTTATCGTAGTTGAGAAATTATTCTTAGGAATAATTTGAAGCCTAGAATGATTTCAATCTTCACCACAGAAAATTTTTGCTTGCTTACTCCAAGTGTCCTAATCTATCAGTACAGTACTGCCTCATTTATGCTCAAAGATTGAGGTTTTCCTGAATTACCACCAAGGTCATCCAAAGGTGGGGTGAGAGTCATTGAGAGTACTGATTTAGTTCCACTTCACCATTTTCCTGACGGCAATGCCCTTTGGTGTTCCAGCTTAATGGCAGGGACTATTTATTGACTCCGTACCTGGGGTGAGCCCAGGCTTTGTCTTTTGTCCCTTTTGCCTCAGAAGACTATGAAAACAGCTGCTCAGCTTTGTAGTTATTTCTTCCAGAGCATCACATCCTTCCCAGGGAAAAGCAGTATTGAGTGCTGGGCCCAAATCTCTGGGTTCTTGCCGTTTGCTAGATTTTGGCCCAATAACTTCTCCCTATCACGTTAGGTTGGAACCTGAAACGTTTTGACAGAGATGAGCTCTTGGGAAGAGCTGACCCACCGCTCTGAATTTGTTTTCTCCACTGGGGATATGTCACTTCAGCATTGGCCCCGCCATGCCTGATTCCAGGAAAGAAGCTATTTCATCTATGAAACTTTAGCTCAGGACTGTACAAAATCTTTGGTTCCCCTTAATATCCAAGAGTAGATGGCATTTTCAAAACCACAGTGCCAAACACTGAGGATTGATGAGAAGGAAAAGTATAGAAAAAGAAATCACGATAGCCATTTTCCAAAGAATTTGGTCTCATTTTCTGAACCTAAAATGAGACCTGGTGTTTCTAACTCCCATCTAGACGACATACTATCTTGGCACCTGGGTCCTTGGACAGCCAGGACTAAGAGGTAAGGCCCTCCCATCTAGTCTGAATTCTCTTTGGAGAAGCAGCCTTGAGTAGGAGAAGAGACAGGACTGTGAGTCATGGCGCAGTGGAAGGCCTCACCCTGCCTGGCTAAGGGCCCCAGTTATGCATTTCTCTTCAGATGCCCAAGCTCGCTCCCAACCCAGAAAAGATTAACAAGGGCTTTGAGGGAGGAGATTTCATAGTCTCTCTCAAACCACACCCAAATAATTTAGTATCTCTCTCATTGCATGACTCCACTTAATGAAGGGCTTTAGGTCGTTGACCAGGCACCGTATTCTAGAACTGTGCTTCCAGTATGGCAGCTACCAGTCACGTGTGGCTATTGAGCACTTGAATATGGCTCTATGAACTGACTGTGCTGTAAGTATAAACTACACATCAAATTTTGAAGATTTAGTATGGAAAAAAAAGTAAAATATCTCAATTTTTTGTATTGACTACATGTTGAAATATCTGGAATATATTGGGTTAAATAAATATATTAAAATTAAGTTCACCTATTTCTTTTTACTTTTTAAATTTGACTACCAGACTATTTAAAGCTACAGAAGTGTTTGCATTATACTTCTATTGGACAGCACTGCCTCTGGGGTGACCTTGGTTCTAAAGACTGAATCTCCTCTTCCTAAGTGGTTATTTTCACAACTAAAATATGCATTGAAGCATCTCCAGAAAATTCCTTAAACTTTCTTCCATTTATAGAAGTAGCATGCATGATACAATAAGAAAAAAAAGCCTAGGTTCTAATCTCTATTCTTGTCATTAACTATCAGCGAAATTAGTCAAATTATTTTAGCTCTTTGGGTCTGAGTTTCTTTATGTAAAAAGAAGGGGTTGGACTAGGTCCCCTCTATGGTTTCTTCCAATTCTATGATTATATTATTATTATTATGTTAAAAAAATTTTCTAAAATACTTTTCATGCATAAGATAGACAGCTTTTTATTGTAATGTAGATATAATTTTCGAACCTCTTTTGAAAATAATATAAAAATAAATATCTCCCTGTTGATAAAAAGATAGACATCAAGCTAATTTATATAACCTTGCATATGTTAAAGTTGCATGTTCATTTTCTGTACTGCTATTATAAATTTTGCCATGAAAACTGTTTTGTTAATGAAGGTTTTTCATTTTTTAAGGTTCAGTCTATGGTTATGATTATTATTTACTCTATATAATTGGTCCCTTAGCTTTTCTTTCATAGATCATTCGCATTTCTCAGCCATATATGTCCCTTATACTCTCTTTTGACCATTTCTAGTTAGATTTTTTTATACCTTATTCTGACCTTGCTGTGTCCTCCAATTCTTTTTCCGGACTAAGCTTTCTTGCCGCCTCTCACCAGCACCCCTTCTTTAGACTCAGGCACTTCCTGCTCTCCTCCTCCCTTTCAAAACGATTTCACCTGAAAAGATCTAATAACAGTAGGTACATTTCAGGGTAAATTCGAGTCTTTGCAGTTACTTCTTACTTGGGGGCGGGGGTGCGAGAGAGTGGGAGGGGTAGGTCTTTGCATTTTAAGCCATATGTCTCATCAAGAAATGGAAGGTTTTATTCCTATTAATTTGAAAGGGATGTTTCTATTCCATATTTAAATTTTCTTAAAATCCATCACAGTATGTGAACTCTCACCTACCGACACTTTTCGAGCCCTGCCCACATCCATTCATTCTTGTGAAAATATGGCCTTAAATACATCTACAGGTACCTGTGCAAGATTCTGACTGCTAAGGAAGCCTTCTCCACCTTGATTTCTGAACAAGTTTGAAGAGCACTGGATTTGAAGTCAGATGATCTGGGTTCCTACCTTAGCGGCACTTGAACTAGATGTATCATCTTGGACAAATTCTTTCTTCTCTCTAAGCCTTCGGCTCTTAATCTGTGTAAAACGAGCTATAATAACACCTCTTACACTTGTGTCACATGGTACTCCTGAGCATCTAAGGAAATAATAAACAGGTAATTACTTACCATGGTAAAGAGCTACACAGCATGAGTGATATTGGGCATCCTGAAACTTCATTAAATTTCGTTCCTAGTTCCCTTTTTTGGATCAGAATAAATACATTGACCCATTCAATTTAGACAGGAATAAAGAATATGACTGTTTTCAGAATAATGAAAAGTTTCAAGTTAAGATGAAATGCTCACTCTCTTCATTCAATCATAATATGAGAGCTATAAAACACTCAGTAGAACCAATAACCTGAGTCACGTTACGCAATTTATCTACGAAACTCAATTAGTCAAGAAACAGCAAATGGGTTTTTGTGATTCAGATGGAGCCTGGAGGGAGGGATTGGGGTCAGTATTAAATTGACATCCATATTTAAGTAGCAAATTAGTGTTAATGTTATGAAAGTGGAACGCAAATAAAAGATTTTAAGAATTAAAAAGTAATCTACTGGATGTATTAGGAAGGAATTCTGTTCCTAAAACAGATGCAAGAATATTATCCGAACAAAATTCAAATGCTTAAAAATATCACTCAAGGTTTCAGTAGAAAAAAAAATGTGTATATATGTGTGTGTGTGTATGCATATGTATATAAACACATATACTTTTGCTATCATTTCTTTGAAATCAAGACCGTGAGACAGAGCTTCTGTCATCAATTATTGGAATTTGGTGAAAAAAGGAAAGAATTTGGAATCAGTCACTCTCGATTCCGCCGTTTAGGAGCTATTTCCTTGTCCCTAAAAAGGGAGGCAATCTTGCCTGCTCCGCCTAACTCGCAGAGTTGTTCTGAGGACCCAATGCGCCGGATTGGAAAGACAGGTATAGTTGCTGCTGTCAACGCGACCAGAGTAGCTGTGCACTGAGCAATGCGGTTTTGAAAAATCCACTCTTCCCAGCTGGAAGACACTTTGGTGAAGAGATAACCCTAGTCTATTTCTCTTTCTCATCATTTCAAATGTGGCTAAGAGGGAGGAGGGCCAGGGGGATTTTTAAGGAACTTGGACGCAGAACTCTCCCCTCCCCCCAGCTCTTCACATTTTTTTCCTTTATTTCGTTCGTTCATTCATTCAACAAATGTTTCTCCGCCCCCCGTTGGGTGCCGGACACTGGGCTAGGCAGTGAGAGCCCCAAGAGGAAAGGTGGTCTCGGGGAGCCCTCGGTGTAGGGAGCAGACACTGGACGCCTAACTGCGGGACAGCGCTCACCCGGGAGCCCCGCCAGGCCGCGCCCGCCGCCGCCGCCTCCCGCCGGTCCTCCCGCCGCGGTTGCGGAGACTACTCACCCCGCCCCCCAGCCCGGCGGCGGCGATTCCGGCCGCGTCCCCATGGCAACCGGCGGCGGCGCGGCGGGCCGGGGCGGGCGGCGAGGGAGAGGCCACAACGGCCTCGGCGGCCGCGCGGCGGGCGGGCCCGGCGGCGGGAGCGCGGCGGGCGGCGGGGCCTCGGGGGCGGGCCGGGCTGCCGGGGACCCGGCGTCCCTGCTCCGGGGCTGCAGACCTCGCGGGAGAGCGCGGCGCTGCCCGGCGCAGGTAACCCCCGCCCCCGGCCTCCAGGGCCCCGCCTCACCCCTGACCCTGGTCCTCGCCCCTCACCGGGCGGGCTTGCCTCAGAGGATGGGGGACCCCCGGGCGGGCTGCTCCGCGGGGCTGGGCTTGAGCCGTGCGCGGGGTCGGGGCCCGGGGCGCGCGGCGGATCGACAGAGCCAGGATGCTAGGATAGTTCTTGCAGAAGCCAGAGCAGAGAGTCTCCCTAAAGTTAACAGGTCTGGGTTCTACATGTGTGGCCTTGGGCGAGTCAGCTACCTTGCCTGTGCCTCAGTTTCCCTGAGGTTAAAGTGAAGGATTTGAGAACCTACAAAATCAATTTATTCATCTGTCCTTTCTGGTCAAATTTTCCTTCCCCGTCCCCACTCCTCGCCCCTCCGCTCCGCACACAATTCGGGTCTGTGTTAAATTCCTTTACTTTGGAAGTGACTTGAGCCCAGGAGTCTCTCTCCTCCTTTCTACCATCTTAAGTGCTATTTAACTGACTTTTATTCAGTGATTCAGAAGAGTTGAAGTCCTTTTCAATACTATGATCATTTATCCTCATAGATTATCTTTTAATTAAAACTTTGTTGCTGGGAAAAACTTTTTTCTTTTTACTTTAGGCAGGCAACATCCTTATTTTGTCAAAAACATCAGCAGGTGCCCCCAGAGCCATTGAAGAATTGTAAGGTTTCCATTTTTAGGCAATTCTTAGCCTTTTTATCCTAAACGTCATGGTATATTCATTCCAACAAAACCCAGAAAGGGCCAAAGAAAGAATTTATTCAGATAAAGACAAACTTTTTGGGGATCCACAGAAAGGAAAGTTTGAGAACGTTTAGCTGGAACTCCTGTTGAAGAGGAATTACATTTTTCTCATCTCATATACTGAGCACTTTGCAAAGTACCTGGCACCAAGCTGTTGTTCAGTAGGGAGTGAATGAATGCTCTTTTCAGTCAGTACCCCATATCTCGACTCATTGCTAAGCCAATGTCATAAGTGCATGGGGGCACTACAAAAAAAAAAGCCCAAAATTTCTACATTTTGTAGAACCAAGATCTACTACACTAGAAAAACTCATACTACATCGTTTGCCAATAGCAGAATTTTCTTGCTTTATAGATTAATAAATGTAAGCATTTAAGGAATATAGATCATTTTTCCCCCTAACAGATTAAAAATAAAGAAATATAAACCAGATGCAGCAGTTTCTTGACATGGAGAAACAAGACCAAAATACAGTGGGGTAAGTGCTGAGAAATTTCTATTTAATGAGTTGATACTTAACTATGCCAAAAACTCCCTGATGATACATGAACTTTGAAATTTAGTATTAATAGGATGTGCTAATTATTTTTGGTGAGGAGGGTGGGTGGAAATTCAAATGACTGATTAAGAATCTATAGTGTGAATCTTTCCAATTTTTTTTTTTAATTTGAGGAAGATTCACCCTGAGCTGACATCCATTGCCCATCTTCCTCTTTTTTTTCTTTCTTCTTCTTCTTCTTTTTTTTTTTTTGTTTTTGCTTGAGGAAGATTAGCCCTGAGCTAACATCTGTGCCCGTCCTCCTCTACCTTTGTATATGGGATGCCTCCACAGCATGGCCAATGAGTGGAGTAGGTCCAAGCCCAGGATTTGAACCCATGAACCCTGGCCACCAAAGCAGAGCATTGGAACTTTAACTACTCGGCCGTGGGGTTAAATCTTTCCAATTTTAACTATGGATCTACACTCGAAAATAACCATTTTCCAACTTTCAGTGAGTTTTTCAGTGTTGTAGGGTGGCGGGTGCCCACCCAGACCTCACGTGCTCTTGGGCTTCCACAGTGCAGCAGCTCCTAGCCAGCCGGCTCCTTTCTTGCTGCGTGGAGTGTCTCAAGCTTCCCTCCACACTTGCCCTCAAGGCTGAACTCAACACTTAAGCATAGCCTCAAAACAGATGTAGCTCCTCAAACAGCAGCAAGAACTGGATATTTAACCAAAAGTTTCATGAAGAGGTGGGGAATAGAATTTGTATAACGTTTGCCATTGTCAAAAATTAAATTCCTTTTCACAAACATCTGTGCCCACCCCTTCCCTGCCAGCAGCTCCACAGAGGTTTCTCTTCCTGTTGCATTAGCCGACTAGCCATAGGCTGACCCCAGAACTGGGGGGCCGGGGGTAGGGACTATGGGAAGGGGTGGTACTATTGTGTCTAATCTTGACTGTGACTTTCAGTTATTCTGCTTGGACCATGACTTTGACACCAGGCTAAAGGAAAGCTACACAAGTCTGGATAACAATAGTGATCACTTTTTTAGCTCCTACTGCATGCCCCTCCTCACAACAGCCCTGCTAGGTAGCATTCTCATTTTACAACTAAGAAAATGGAGCATATTAATTACAGTCTAAGCTCTTGTAACAAAGAGACCCCAAAATACAGTGGTTTACTAAGATTGAAGTTTATTTCTGTTTGATGTACAAGTTCAGAGATAAGCAGACCAGGACTGGTAGGGCAGCTCTGCCATCCTCCCTACATGATTTCCAGCTCTCGACCCAAAGTGATTGCTTAGGCTCCCACCACCATGACTGTGCTCCTGCCAGAGGGAAAAGGGAAGGGCAAGAGGAGGGCATAAGACTTTCCTTTTAGTAGTATGACCTGGAAGTAGCAGGCCTCACTTCTGTTCACTTCCCATTGGCCAGAATTTAATCCTAGAACTACAGGTAGCTGCAAGGAAGCCTGGGAAATGTGGTCTGTAACTGTGTAGCCATATGGCCAGCTAAAGCTTAGAAATTCTGTAATAAAAGAAAGAATGGATATTGGTGGACTAGCAGCCTCTGCCACATAGAGTTCAGAAAGGTAGAAAGAAAGAGAAATAACGCAGGAACTTGCCCCAAAATATACAGCTGGTTAGTGGGGGAGGTAGGATTTGAATTCACATATGTCTGGCTCCAATCCCTGAGTGGATGGCAGTGAGATGCCGGGAGGAGCCTGCCTAGTATCCTTGGCAGAGCCAGGTTGGGATTCTGGATTGAGAAGGAGTTAGGTCCCTGGTGTGATGATGGCACCAAGGGCTTAGGTGCAGATTGAAGGTCTTGAACCCAAAGCTTGGGTTCCAGCGGTCACTTCACTCCTGCAAATCAGAGGCAATGGAGACTGCTATTTCTCTTCGTTCACTCTTTTGGGAAAAAGTATGGCGTATTGAATGTATGCCAGGTACAACACTAAGCTCTATGGCTCATACACAGATCATTAAGAAACAGACCTTGAAGAACTCAGCATTTAGTAGGGAACCACAGAGCTTGTTCGGGAACACCATAATGACAAACCAGAAGTGAATGAGAATTACTGGAGGTTTCCGTGAGGAACTGCTCCGCTCATCACAGCAGGCGTGGCACCAGACGTGGTCTACTGGGGTCTCCAAAGCATGGAGAGCCAGTTGGCTTTCCCTCTGTCCCACGTGCTATTGAGAAAAATGTAAAGATCAGGAGCATAAAGACAGTAAAACCTCATTCATCAGGGATGTGTTATGCAGCTTATCAAACCGTGTCACCTACGTACACAGTAATGTTTTGTGGAGCAACCTTCCTTTAATAAATATTTATCTAGAGTCTGCTATGAGCCATTCATTGGTCTAAGCACCAGGGAGACAGCAGTGAACAAAATAGAGACCATTCCTCCAGGGGGCTTATACATTAGTGGGAGATATGAACATGCTTTATGTGGTTATATGAAGAAAAGCGGGCTAAGGATGGGAGGAATAGCGTGTGAATGGGTCATCAAATAAGGATTTCCTGGTAAGGCGGCATCGGAGCAGAGATCATAACTGGGTGAAGAGAGTTCCAGACAGCAGGAACAGCACGTGCACAGGCCTGAGGTGGGAGCTTTTACACAGAATGTTTATAATGTGCGTGAATCATGATTCTCTGACATCTGGGTTATAACAGGGTTTGATTTTAATTTATCTATGATTTCTCCCAATTATAGGTGTTTGTATTTGTGCCATAATAATCAACCCAAACTCCTTCTAATCGAAACAGTCGTATTTAAGTGAGTTTGTCCTTTTTATTTGTTTTTAGAGTGTGTGCCCAGAACATAAATAATTATAGAATAAGTAAATGATCAATTTTATGGGCCTTTTAAAGAGAACCATGTCTAGATTTTGCTTTGTTTTTTTCATATTCATGAATTTCATCTTATTAATTTGTCCTTTTATGATTTAATTTACGTATCTTGTTCTTCTGATTTTTGAATTGGAAACTATGATCAGTTATTTCCATGATTTCTGGATTTCATAATTTCTTTAGATAATAAAAGCATTTAAAGCCAGAGTTCCTCCTGAGCACAGCTTTGCTGCAGGCCATAGGGCTAGTGTTCCACTCTCATTTTCTAAATAGTCTGTTTCAACTTTGATTGCCTCTTCAACTCATGAGATACTTAGGAGAGGTGACTTCCAGAGGTGGTTAATTATATTTTTATTATTACTGTCTAATCCCCCTACCACCATTGTCATAGAGTATGGCCTATATGATATTTCAGTTTCATTAAGATTATTCTTGTGATCTATTGTATGATCAACTTTTATAAATGTCCTTTGAGCATTTGAAAACAGATATATATTCTCTACTGGTTAAGTAAAGGTTAAAAAAGTTATGCATATATAATCAAACCTTTTAATTGTTATTATTATGTTTAAATTATGTTTTTCAAGTCCATTGTTAACCTTACTTTTTTTCTATTTGATCTGTCAAATTTTAAGAAAGATCTTTACAATAATTGTGGTTTTGTCCCATTCTTCTTGTGTTTCAAGCAGTTTTTGTTGTACATATTTCAGTGTTCTGTTGCTCAGTGTATTGAGGTTCATGGATGTTATGTCTTCTTGGTATATTATAAGATTTAGCTTTATAAAATGTCTCACAAGTCTAAGTTAATGTTTTTTTGTTTGAATTCTACTTTTCCTGATACCGATATTGCCAACTCCACTTTCTTTTTGATTTACTTTAGTCTGTAATATCCTTGTCCATCCCCTTTGTAAAGGAAAAAACTCAGTCTTTTCCTTCCTATAGAAGCAAAAACTCCATTCCTCCCTACTGTGTCTTTCTGCCCTGCGTGTCTCCCTTACCTTCACAGAGAACACTTCACTTCTGACACTTCTAGTCACCAAACGTGTGATGGTTTTTCCCCCACCAAGCAGTTCTCTGTGACACCAGCTGCGTGTCCTACAATTTAACTCAATTCTGACACTGTCTACCCAGAGACAGTGTCAGATCCCACAGGTTAAGGCCTCAGTCCCACAAGACTGTCCCCTCCACTTCAAATGCCAGTTGCAAATCTAGGTTGTCACCTGTGTTTCTGACCAACTGGCTGTAGATCTGAGATTCCAACCACCCCCTCCTTGTATTCGATTAATTTGCTAAAGCAGCTCACAGAACTCAGGGAAACACTGTTTATCAGTTTATTAAAGTATATGATAAAGGATGCAGATGAAGATCCAAATGGAAGAGACATGTAGGGTGAGGTATGTGGAAAGGGGTGCAGAGCTTCATGGCCCTGTCCAGGCGTACCACTCTCCCAGCACCTCCACGTGTTCACCAACCTAGAAGCTCTTGAAACCCTGTACTTTTGGGATTTTTATGGAGGCTTCATCATGTAGACGAAATCAATCATTAACTCCATTTTCAGCCCTTCTCCTTTCACAAGAGAATGGGCAGTGAGCCTGAAAATTCCAAGCTTCTAATCATGACTTGGTCTTTCCTGTGACCAGCCCCCTCATCCAGGAGCCCATCCAGAGTCACCTCATTAAAACAGAAGACACTTCTATCCCCCAGGAAATTACAGGGGTTTCAGGAGCCCTGTGTCAGGAACTGGAGTCAAAGACCAATATTAGAATAAGAGATGCTGCCGGTGTTCTTATCATCCAGGAAATTACATGGGTTTTAGGAGCCCTGTACAAGGAACCAGGGGCAGAGACCAATATATATTTCCTATGATCTCATACCCTTGTTTCCAATCTTTTTTATGTCATATGGTGCCTCTTGTAAATATGGTTAGATTAAAATATATATACGTCAGTTGGAGAGTCTTTGCCATTATAAAGAGGATTTTATGATCATTAATATATTAAGGTTTGACCCTTTTTGCACTCCCAACATTTGCTAGTCTGATTTAGTGTTCTTTTTCATCTTATAAGTTCTCCATCCTATTTCTTAAGTTGTTAATTTACATTTTTTATGAACATTTTAAATTTGAGTTTCTCTTTTAGCATCCTGAATTTTAACTGTAACTTTGACTTCCTTCAACCCTCATAAGACTTAACCTTTAGTACTGTCTTTGCTTCCCCATTCCCTTATCCCACCCCCAAGAAATAATCTGGATTTCTAGTTCCTGATTGCTATTAATTTATATATAAATTATTACGTATAGGATAATGTGAATTATTATTTTATTCTTCTTTTAAGTCCTTTTTTAATAGCTGTAAGTTTGATTGCATTGCCTACTAGTATTATTTATATACAAAATCGTCATTGTTCTTAATTTTTAAAAATTTTGTAATGTATTTTTGATTTGACTGAATTTTTTCATAAAAATTAACATGGGTGCTATACTTATTAACTTTTTACATATCCAAATATCTACATTTACTCTTATCCAGGAACTCTGTAGTATTACTCATTGTCTTGTAGAATTGAGTGTTGTAGATGGAAAATTCAGTGTCAGTCTCATCCCCTCTTTCTCTTTCAAGATTTTTTTCTTTCTTTTTATAAATGTCCAGAGGCTTGTAGGATTTCTTTTTGTCCTTGGAATTACAAACTTTTCAGGATAGCTCTCTAGGTATGGATCCTTTCTCAATGATCCTTTACAGCATTTGGTGAAGACTTTTGCTCTGAAGATTCAATCTCTTCCACTCAGTGAAATTTTCTTCTATTTCTTTGATTAATAATCCTCCACTATCTTGTTTCATTCTCATCTCCTAGAATGCCTGTATCTTCTTCTGTACTCTCATAATTTCCATCATGGTCTTTTTTGCTCTATGTTCTGGAGGAATTTCTTGAGTTTTCTCATTTTTATTTCACCCTTGATTATGTTCTGTTTTTTGAGATCTTTAGTATTGGCAACCATGTATTTATTTCCAAGAACTTCTTTTTAATGTTTATTTCATTGTTCCTTTTACACAGTAAATTGCTTTTGTTTTATCAATGCAATAAACCCTTGACTCTTATTAAAAAAATGAATAAGATGCGTTTGCAATTATCTCTTGCTCCTTATATCAACTCCTTCACAAGTAGTCATTCTGTGGGTGTGGCTCTGATGTATTTCTCCACGTCCTTCAATTTGTGCTTCTTCCCAAACCCCAACAACTGCTCCACAGCCCCACCTTTCTCCTAGCCTCTGCTACTTGAAAGAGAAATCTCTTCAGTTTTCCAGAGAAATCTGGCCACTAACTACAGCACAGCTGCAACTCCCTGAGGACTCGGCATAGCCACCAGCCAAGGTGTTATGCAGTCTAATATATTTAAGACTGTTAAAGCTTATGTTTAATAAACTTAACTCTAAAGGTTATTTCTAAGTAGGAATTCCACAAATGCATTGAGCAAGGCTAAGGTCAATGAAACACATACATAGAGTCCCAAAAAGTATGAATTCTGGAGTGTTGTTTTCAAAAATGTCATTGTCCTTGTATAAGTGGGTGCACATATGATGGATTACTTCTTTAAAATATCTTTTCGAACTGAAAAAGAACATTTATCCAGATCTTTCTTAACTTAGTTACACGTGCATGTAGTTTAAAAAGTCATTTGGTTCTTTATCACTGTTACCAAAAAGCAGCAATCTCTTGTTCCTTCCCCAGTTTTCCACTCCCCGGAGGCAAGCACTTTCAATTCTTTAGCTGATTCTATTGGTATTTATCTCTATATCTCTGCATAACATACTTCTATTGCTATTTCTTGATTTTTCAGTTTTAGGCATTATCTATTGATGATCACAATGGTTATTTTTCATGCCTCCACCACCTCATACCCACCACACACACACACACACACACTCTCACTCTCACACACTCACACTTGCTATTCTTCCATCCTCCCGATATACCACAATTTTTGTTGCATCAATATTCTGTTTGCCTTGTTGTGACTTTATAAATACTCTTCACCTCTGAGCCATATAGTATAGCATGATTACTTTCTCTTTCCCACATGTTTTGTTTTTCCTGGAGTGAATGAATCCTATCTTAATTGTAAATTTTTTGAAGTTTTCTTCTTTCTGCTTAGTTTTCTTCAAAAAATGTCTTTCTGTTTGTATTTGACCTGGTTATGTGAACCGTTTTCCTCGAAGGTCTGTGATCCCTTGACTTCGCTTGCTCCTTTGCAAGAGTAGAGGAGTCAGAAGCTGACAGGAAGCTCCAGTGGACATGTGCGGGGCTTGTTGCCAGGGGTCTTCACTGTGTGGTCGTCAGGCTAGTCTCTTTCAGTCTTCTGCCTCAGGCTGATCAGATTCCAGAGAACTCACTTCTAAGTTCTCCTGCTTGGAGGGTAAGAGTTGGGCTGCCAGTATTTACCCTCTACTTCCAGAAATACCTAGTGGGTTGCTTCTTGACTTTCTCCACTGCCAGCTCCTATTATTTTTGTCCTTATAGGTTTAACCTTGCAGGTTAAAAATATCCCTTTGCTTTATTTTAGTAGGATTTGGAAATGGAGCAAAATGTGTCTGTTCACCCATCTTCAACCAAAAGTCTCATTTTTCTCTGCTGAATCATTTACTCTACTTTTATTCTGTGACTTATTTCTTAGCAATTGATCTCGTTCATAGAATCTTGTCAAATCCTTCCTAAAAGTCTAGGTACTGCTACGTGATCTGCCAAATTTTTTTTATCTGCCATGAAAGTCATATTTTCAAATAGCCAAGGCAGATGAAAATTAAAACATAACTTTTCACATCTGAATTCAGAAAAATCATTTAAAGCCATACTCTTCTGTGTGCGCATCTTTCTTAAACTTTAGGGTCTTTTCCTTCTGAGACATGAATTCATAATCACAACTTTACTTCCC